GTGCTGGCTGGGCTGCCGGGTTCTGCCCCGCCACCCTGGGCTGCTTCAGGTAAGTCGTAGAGAATTTTTGGATTGATGTTATAAAATTATTCCCAAAAGATCCATAATGACCCAATGAGCTGCTCTCGAGTGAGCTGGCACATGGTGCGCACCGCTCCCTTCCTGATACTGGGTGCATTAAATCTATGCCGTGGCCCCTGGAGCTCCCATCCTCGGTGTGGATGGGGACTTCAAACGCCCAGACCCACAGGATGGTGGGAATTGTCTGCCATTTTTCTAGGTCCAGACTAAAATGCCATTGGCACTAAAAGAACTAGAGTTGTTCAGTTTTGCACTAACCCAGAGGGGCTGCCCCGGGACGCCAGCGGAGCCAGCTGGCCTGGAGGTACAGAGGGTTACGGCTTCAGGCAAAAGCTTCTCTTTGTTTGATGCAAATGTCACTGTGCATATTTTCTTTAACCTTTTGTTATTTTATGTTTTTCTACAGTCCAGGCCTTTTAGTCCTCCTATTCACTCATCCAGCCCTCCTCCGATAGCACCTTTAGCCCGTGCTGAAAGTACTTCTTCCATATCTTCCACCAATTCCCTGAGTGCAGCCACCACTCCCACCGTTGGTAAAAACATACAGCACTGCTGTTCTTTCACCTTTCCTACCTCTGAACGTCCTTAAAAAATTCCTGAAACCTTTTCATTTGCTAGATTGTTCTTCGGGTTCACATTCATTAATTTTCATCAGGTTTTTATATGCAAAAAGGTATTTGAGGGGGGTGTGATGGATCATGAACATGATGCTGCTAGGGAAGATTTGTTTTTGTGGCAGCTCCAAATGTTATGAAAAAATGAATATTTGGTGAAGGTAGAGGTTATTGCCAAGTGAAATATAATATAAAATATGCTTATTCTCTGTAAATTTCATCAAAATAAGCTTTTTTTTTGCGGGGGATGCTTGTAGCCTGGAGGGGAGGGCGGCTGGAAGCCAGACCTTGGGATCCAGGAGACAATTAATATTAAATCTCTTTGAATGTCTTAAAATCACATTTCCCCTTAAAGTGGTGGCGGGAAACGGGGTCTTGGAAAAGGCTCTTCCAAACCGTTAGCTTGACATGTCCTAGACCAGAATAAAGCGCTGCAGTTTTCTTTGGGAGGAACGTCCTGAAAACATGGGTTTTGCCAACCCCCCCAGGTGCCCCCGGGGCCTGAGACAGGAAATGCAAATAAAGTCTGGCTGGCAGCTCCCAGGCTCCATGCGCTGGCTCCCCCCTGCCTCCCTCCTCCGTCCCCTCCGTCCTGGCTGCCGGTGCACCCTCCTCTGCCATCCCTGCCATCCCACCCAGCTACCGGCCCCACCGCCCCTTGCTTCCCGCAGCTCCATCTTCTACCAGGAACATTCCTCCTCCTTTTTTCTTTTCTTTCCGTGTTTTTTGTGATGAGCACGCCTGGTTTGCGTGGCAGGGAAGGAGCTTTGCAGGCCATGGCTGGCGTAGGCTGGCGGATGGGGTCTGCAGAGGGAGCTAAACCCCAACCCTCCGAAAAACCAAACCTGGCTAGTGTTCGTGTGGTG